CACTGACCCTCCGACAGTGCCCACTCCCTCAGCACTGACCCTCCAACCGTGCTGTGATCCCTCAGCACTGACCCTCCGACAGTGCCCACTCCCTCAGCACTGACCCTCCGACAGTGACATATTGGCAGTCCAATCTCATTTTTGTGCAGAGCCCTGGCTAAAATACATCTGCAAATTGGTTTCCCATCACTGTGTGAACAAACAGCATTGTCAATAATATTTACCCATAGTCAGCAGTCATGAATATATCCATTTGCGCTGCTGAGGAGTACTGGTCTTTGGCAGAATCACAGAATTAGCAGACCCTTTGGCGCATATCTTTTGCAAGGCCCACATTTTCCAACTGGAGCTCGTGCTGTTTATTGTAGTACACCATTCCTGTACTTGCTGCTCTGTCTGGTGCCAATTTCCTGCCCTTCCCCTTGTCCCTGTGCACCATGCCTAACTAGATAACCATCCCATGTCCCTCTCCCATGCCTCGGTTGAACCTGCCTCCTGTACATTTCCAGGCAGTGAAACCCACACCCTGTGTACTCACTGAGTGAGAAACGTTTTTTTTTCTGCACTCATATCTCTCTCTTGCTTCAATGACGTATCAGTCCCTGACGTGAGTTATGTTGAATATCATTCATACGTGGGGCAGCTGGAGAAACACATGAGGGTAGGACAGGGACAGGAGGAGATGTTGAAAAGTTGAGATGAAGTGTCGGGGGTGGGGCGGGAGGCGAGGGAAGAGGTGTAAAACTGTCGCTGGAGAGATGTTGCAAATGACGTCCTGGGCACACCCTCTCTTCCTCCACTTCACCGACACCTTCTGTTTGTCCCAGGCCCTCTCCGCCAACTCAGACCTGGTACCATCCCACCGCTGGAACAAGACCAAGTCCCTGTACAGGCTCCTCAAAGGGATTCCCGAAGGCTCCTTTTCCAATCCTCAGGCCGCGTCGCAAATTGTTCCGTCGCTGGAGGGCAGGACCTACCTGGATGTGACGGAGCTGAACTGCACAGCCGACCACAGTGAGTCTCGTGGCAGACAGGGAGCAGACGCATGGCTATCGTCTGAAAGCCCAGGGCACGGAATAAAATTCTTACCCAAGACCAGTAATTCCTGAGGGGCGGTCAGTCTTGTCATGCAATTATCAGATGGTGCATGGCCGGGTCCCATGAGCAGTGAAACAGTCATGGCACCCCACACTGTGACCCTCTGACAGCATGACGGTCCCTCAGCACTGACCCTCCGACAGTGC